TGATGGTTATGATCGCATAAACTTTAACTGGGCTTGGAATCAGCCTGGAACACATTTCATGAACGATGAAGATTTTGGTATTCCAAACAGAACTGGTCGTGCTTTGTTTAGCTTTGGTAACAGACGTCACAGGCATATGCCTGGTCGTCGAGCTATTCTTGAAGTTCCACCAGAGGGTCTCGATTATGTTATTGGTGATCCTGTAGGTTACGGCTTTAATTTTGGAACAAACGATGATATAGATAATTCAGGATTATGGCGCAGTAACAGAACATTACCAGACACTAATGATGATGTTACCACTCACCCTCTACTTGTTAATCGATCTCCCACCGTTCCTTCTGTTGCTAGCGTTGAACTTACTAGGGGACGTACTGTTCGAAATGGACCTTTGGGCGATTGGACACAATCAATCGAAGAATTAATCGGTGGTGGTGCAGTTCAATTATTAGAACAATTGTTAACTAGAAGTCGAGGTTTAGGACATTCTTCTACATATAGACTTGAATTAAATACTGGGTCGTCAGGCTTAGTGAGCGGCATTGAGGTTGATCGTGTTTTTCCAAGAACAATATCTAGCGGACAAGAAAATCAGAATATAACACCACCAAGTGATCCTATTACAGCAGTTCAAGAATTTAAACCTCATTCAACCGGGCAACGATGGTACGATGAGGCACGCATGATGTATGGAAGTACAGTAGCAGAAAAGGCCGCAAAACTCGTTAATCATGTTTATAATGCATTGGTTCCTTATGCGTTGGAGGAAGAAAAAAAGAGAATAGAAGAAGAAAAAAAGAGAGTAGAAGAAGAAAAGAAGAGAAAAGAAAAAGAGGAAAGAGAAAAGGAAGAAAGGAGACTTCGTGAGGAAGAAGAAAGAAAGGCTGAAGAGGAAGCTGAACGACTAAGAAAAGAGCAAGAAGAATTGAGAATTAGAGAGGCTGAGGAAGCTGCTGCTGCTGCTGCTACAGTCGTTCCTCAACCAGAAACTATAGCTGAACAATCAATGTCTGACACAATAACCAATAATGATGAAATAATTGAAGTAACTGAAGTTACCGAAGTAATTGAACTTATTGATCCTATGCAAGAAGATGCGCCAATAATCGAACAAGAGCAAGAACATTCAGGGGAATCTATAGAGATGGAAGATGAACCTGCTCCAGTTACTAGTGATCTTAATATGGAGGAAGGACCATCGGTAGTTCCAGATACTAGCCAGTCTCAAGAGGCAACTGAAGATACAGTTGAAGGCTCAAGTGAAGGTCAATCAACAAGGACTACAGTTATGGTTAACGGTCGTCCTGTGGACATTACTGGTACTGGTATAGACCCAACCTTTCTCGAAGCATTACCAGACGATCTTAGAGAGGAGGTACTTAATCAAAATTTGCCGCCAGAAAGGCGGAATAGGCCACCAGTTACTAGTGGAACTGGTGATGCTATTAGCCCTGAATTTCTTGCTGCTCTTCCAGATGACCTCAGGGAAGAAATAATTCAACAAGAAGAAGCATTTGAAGAAAGAATGATTCGTCAACGGACTTCGGAACCTGCTGCTGTTGACATGGACACTGCAAGTTTTTTCGCTTCTTTAGATCCACAATTACGACAAACAGTTCTTCTTGAACAGGACGAAATGGTGCTAGCGTCATTGCCACCAGCGATAGTTGCAGAAGCCAATGCATTACGTGAAAGAGCTAGTCGTCGATATACAAATGCAGTACGATCAAGGACATTAACTGCACCTCAGATTCAAGTTTCCAAAAAACCTTCGATCCAACGTGATGCGGTAAAACTTGTTGATACCTCTGGACTGGCTACTTTAGTTCGACTATTGTTCCTTCCTCAACCGTTAGGAAATAAAAACTTGTTGCACAAATTATTACTTAATCTTTGTGAGAATTGCAAGACACGCGGTGAATTAATTTCTATGTTGTTATCTGTTCTTTTTGATGGTAGCGGAGACGTTTCCGCGGTCGATAAAAGTTTTGCGCAAATGTCTTTAAAAGCTAAAGGAACGCTGAAGGGAACACCAAGAAGACAGTCAAGCCTTCCAAATTCATCATTAGCACAAATAACTCAAGCTGCCGGAGAAAATGTGCCCAATTTAATTGCACAGAGATGTTTAGAAGCATTAACATATATTGTAACATATAATGAAGCTTCAGTTACGTATTTCTTGATGGAACACGATAATAACATCGGTCTTAAAAGATCTAACAGCCGAAAAGGCAAAGAGAAACAAGCAAAGACACTAAGCAAATATCCAGTAGTGATATTACTAAGTTTACTTGATCGTCAAGTGTTTATTAAAAATACTGCTTTAATGGATCAGTTAATGCATTTACTTTCGTTCGTTTTGCGTCCTTTATCTACATTGACAAAGAAAGATTCTAACAATACTGCTGGAGATTCCGGTGGACAATCGAATGACAATAGCAATGGCCCTGTGACACAAAGCACTAGTACTGAGAATCATTCTGGTCAACCTACCGGATCAGACAACCAAAATAATAATTCAACGCAATCTGATGGTAACCAGGACAATGTTAATGGCAATAACAATAACAATAATACTAATACTAATTCGACTCAAGCTCCAGAGACAAATAATGATCCGCCACAGAATAACGTAAACTCAGAGACCAACAATAATTTACCTTCAAGAGCTTCTGCAAGCGAAGTTTCTCGTAATCAAACGACAACTTCGACGTCTTCAGAAACAGCGCAACCTATTCTTAAACCTCCAGTTATACCCGATTATTGTTTGCGCCTTGTAGTTAATGTTCTTACTGCTGGCGAATGTACAAGTAATACTTTTAAATATACACTTTCAGTTATTCAACATCTTTCAACTTTAAGTGGAGCCCGTGATGTTATTACATCAGAATTAGTTGATCGAGCTCAATCACTTGGAAATGATATACTTGATGATCTGGATGAATTGGCTCAAATTTTACAAGATGCGGACACTGGCGTTGATGTACAGGGTGTCACTTTAGCCAAATTTTCACCATCATCATCACAACAAGCAAAATTGTTACGTGTTCTCAAAACCATCGATTATATGTATTCTCGCAAGCAACAATCAACAACTAATACTTCAACAAACGCTCAAGTGTCATTGGCTCCCACGGTAGATCCGGATGAAGTTGATGTTGTGGCACCAAGAACGTTATTGGATGGTGGCAGAGGCTCTAAACTGACCGAAGATGAAGAAAAAGTTATGAGAATTTACGATAGTCTTAATTTCACAGAACTTTGGAAAAAACTCGGCAGATGTTTGACCACCATACATGAAAAACCTGACATGATTCACGTGGCAACCGTTCTCTTACCACTCATAGAGTCACTTATGGTTGTATGTAAATATGTGGGAATGGCACCTTCTAATCAAAAGGCAGCATCGTCCGAATCACAAGCAACCTCGGAAAGTATGGAAGAACTATTCTTCACGTTCACTGAAGATCATCGAAAGATTCTTAATACGATGGTCCGAAACAATCCATCATTAATGAGTGGATCTTTCTCATTACTTGTACATAATCCAAAGATTCTTGAATTTGACAACAAACGAAACTATTTCAACCAACAACTTCATAAACGTACAAACACTCGTGATCATTATGGCACTTTACAACTTAATGTTCGTAGACAGTACGTATTTGAAGATTCCTACCAAAACTTGCAAAGAAGAACAGGAGACGAAATCAAATATGGTAAACTTAGTGTTCGTTTCTACGAGGAAGAAGGTGTAGATGCTGGTGGAGTGACGAGGGAATGGTTCCAAGTTCTCGCTAGACAAATGTTTAATGAAAATTATGCATTGTTTAAGACTTCGGCAGCAGATAGATTAACATACCAGCCAAATAGAGCATCAGGTGCAAATCCAGAACATTTATTATTCTTTAAGTTTGTTGGTCGTGTTATTGGCAAAGCCATTTATGACGGCAGACTTTTGGATGCTTATTTTACTCGTTCATTCTATAAACATATTCTTGGTAAACCTGTTGACTACCGAGATGTCGAAGCCATTGACCTGGAGTATTACAATAGTCTTGTATGGATGTTGAATAACGATATAACTAATGTTGTTGAATTAACATTTAGTGTTGTAACTAATGATTTTGGTGAGGAGAAAATTATTGATTTGAAACCTAATGGTAGAAACATTTCAGTGACTGATGAAAATAAGCGAGAGTATGTTATGCTTGTTATTGTTATTGCCATTAACATTGTCCTGGTTACCATCAGATTGCGTTGAATTATTATTTTGGTTGTCTG